CCTAAGCTTCGCAAACATTTCTATGTTCAGTCACCGGACATTCAACTCTTGTTTAATTAAACTTAATTAAAATGCAATTCTCCATTGTATTGCATTGTAATTGAGTTTAATTAAACTCCAATTAAAACGCAACCCTATATAGGAACGCGTTTTAATCGAGTTCATAACGCAACTATATTAAAAGTTAATTCAACTATATTAAAAGTTAATCCAATGAAGTCCTCGGAACATATTGCAATACAAGTGCGCGCGCGCGCGCGTGTGCGTGCGTGCGTGTGTGCGTGCGCGCGCGCATGTGGTATCCTTGTGACGATTTAAATTTTACTTCACACCTTCAAGTGGCGACAAACCTGCCAAGTGACCACCTTCACAATGTTTCATAAATTGTACTAATACTTTATCGAATTTAATTTGAATATTCTGTGATTTAAAATAGAAATGTTAACAAAGCTTTGGTATAATAAAAAGTGAAGTATTGTTCAATTTATATTAATATAATTGTGCCATACCTACTCTCTTCACTAAATCCATGCTTCGCTAACATTTCTATATTGAATTAAGTTAAATTGAGTCTTTTCAACTGATGAAGAACCACTTATTGGATATCGATGACACTTAGAAACTAAATAGTAAATAGATGCTCTAATTAGTTTTTACTTGAAATCCGAGCATTTTAATTACCAGCTTTTACACTGATATCTCGAGTTGTAATCTTATTTCAATGAAACTTTGTACATAGTCTGTGAGATTGCAATACTGTATTAGTTTTACATTAAAATCTGTGCATATTAATTAACTCCGAGATAATGCCATGATCTAATTGGTTTTGTGTTTATATACATGCATTCATATTACCTAATTTGCATAATAATATATTTTTCGGCTTTCTAAAGTTCTTTTAAGAATCAATCATTACGTTAGAACAAAACTTAGTACATATGTGCCCGTAACAATACACATACCTGTAAAGGTTCGTGTTGAAATCTATGCTTAATTGCTAAATTGTCTACCTATTTCTAAAAAAGCAATTCAATAAAGCTTTGTAAATACGTACCTTGGAGCAATATTTGGGATTGAAATTCTATCAAGCTAATTGTCAATTTTGCATAATGTACATAATTATCGCATTTCATTGAGATTTGGTTCACAGATGCTCTCAAGTGAATCACGTGATAAGTTTAATGTTTCTAAATTAAATTCATTTGCATTTTTGTCTTTCGTAAGTTGGCCTTTGACCTCTACGTGCCTCAGCAGTCAGTACGATAATAATCTGCCATTTACGACATATTTATTCACTTTTTCAAACTTTTAACTATGGGTCTCAATATTATAACAAAATAATAGTATTTATTGAAGTCGTATCCTAAAAATGGTCATTGATCTACAATAAGTAATTTATTATAGTAACTAGACTGTCTACAATCCTAGGGCCTAATGTAATTATGTGTCCTGGACCGTGATTCAAATGCCGAAGGTGATGGGAACTGGGAAGCATTTCACGAGAGGAACTTTAGTGCCGAGAGACTGTTCCGGTCTGCTGGTTTCTAGTTGATGTGAATAATTCATAGATGATGCTGACGTCACGTAATGAATTGTATCCAAATTTATTCTAAATGACCTGAATGCGTTGCTTGTTCACGTTATGAACTCAATGAATACAGTCACTCCAACCAAAATAACAAAGAAAACTAGAACCAGGGAAATAATGTGCATTGTTTGTCGCAGTCAAATAAAAAATATAGAAAACCGGAGGAGACTGTTTCGCGGGATCAACAGAACTATGACATGCAAAGAAATCAAATTTGTTTTGACAAAGACTATCAATAAATATCTTGCCAATTCGTACGCGTGTAGAAAATGTGGACTGAGAGCGTAGACTCTGCATAGAAGCATGGATGGACCAGGAAGAAATTTCAACAAACTAAGCAAGAGTTATTGGAAAGGTTGCAGGCTTTTTCCTTCAAGAGAATGGTACTGTGGTACAGTCAAAACAAACTTCCCGTAAGTCGTGTGCGATCCCAGTATCCAGCAACTCCAGATCCATTTCACGATTGGTCACGATACAATGATAAACATCTGCGCGACTATCATTTGCATATGAAAGTACCCGGATCTGGTAAGAAATCTTACCAGTGAATTAAAGCACCGGACAGTCGGTCGTGCCTAACAACACTCCATACTTCCTGTTCATTACGTTTATACACAATATTTAATAATAATAACAGAGTAATATTAGGTACGACCGACTATCGACAGTCTATATAGTGACCTGCAGCTCAAAGAACTGCCCAGCTCAGGGGCTGTTAAGGCCAAATCAACATTTTGTGTATTTAATTGCTATTATATTTTTTGTATTTACTGCATGCTATGCTATATATTATTTACTGTAAACTTGGATAAATCCATGTGGCGAATAGCGCCACCCAGAGTTATTGGTGAAAGTTATTAATAGTATCAAGGTCAGTTCTTATCTGAGATTAAAAACAGATGAGTTGGCAGTGTGACTCAGCTAACTGTACGGTACGGATGTACGCTTTTGAGGTCCATCAATATCTTGATATTGCAAACTGTGTTACTTGGAATTGATTGGCTAGGAAGGTCTACAAACATGGTGAGTGTTTAATGATTCACATGTGTTCTTTTGGCAGTTTATTTTTAGTGCCATTATGGTGCAAATATATTGTACACTGTTTACTGTGCCATTACATTGATTTTTAAGTGTAAATAACTTCACTATAGCCAGAACAACCAAGATTTCAGTATAGATTTGAATAAGTTTGAATAAGTTTTATTATACTCGTTTAGTTTACATAGTTTATGTTAGGAAACTTTGTTCGTTTCAAGTACAACCATTGTTAGTGTGCTAGTTGCACTGTCTATTTCTCAGAGCTATTTATAGAACTTAAACTTGTCCATGCATGCATATAGATATTAGGTTACTTGGAAGAGTCATTCCACTCATATTACAATTATGCAGTGTCTCTGTAAGACAGGCTGAGCATTATAAGCCATGAAGTAATATGTGTATTTTTAGATATTTTACACTGTGTGTACATCACTAGAAATGTATTTGCTTTATTTTATCATTGTATGTGTATTTATTATTTTGTTTGTGTTACATTTCAGTTAATTGTCATTCTACATTGTTTGTATGGAATAAAGAGTCCTGATGCAGAAAACAGGGTTTTGTACAATTAGTGTGGAAGAACGCATTGGCGAGAGGATGACTTCCTGGTGTAAACAATACATAGTGGCAAGCTTATTCACTGTGTCAGCCATTAATTAGGCGTTATACGGGACCAGTAGAACTTGCTTGTGCACTACATTTATTAACGTGTTTTGACAACTGTGTGACTCTCAGTTGATGATGGATCGCGAGTTGGAACAGGAATTTCACACCATAACTACTGATATTGAAGCTGAAGCAATTGCTAAGCAGACTACTATGCCAAGTAGTACGTTATCAAGCCAGAGCTGTGGTGAACGTACCAAGAAACCTACAGAGAAGGGACTGCAGTATACATTGGAGACAAGACAGAGGGAACGAAATAGACTGACTAGTCTGTTGAGAAATGGTATTAAACGAATCTTGAGATTGTTAGATGAACGATATGATTTAACTACTGTAACAGACCAGTTCACAGAATGGATGGATACATATGAATCGTTTATCAGTGCACACAACAGATATCATGACCTTCTATCAGAGGAAGCTCAATGGGAAGACTTCCATGGATGGTATGAAAGTTTTCAAGATTCTTGTAATGAGTTTAAAGCCACTGTTCTTCATTGGATTCAAGGAGCTGAATCACAGTTGAGACAATCTATTAGAATGAATGAGAAAGTGAAACCTGAGGACAGCGTTTCACAAACTACTACTTCCATATCAAAGAGATCCAGATCTAGCCGGGCTTCATCAAGGGCCAGCTCTCTCTCCGTGGCTAGAATTAAAGAAGATCAAAGGAAAGTAGAGTTGTTAGCTCGAGCAGATGCATTGAAGAAGAAGCAAGAGTTAGAACAAGCTAAACTCAGCCTGAAGATGCAAGAAGAAGAATTGGAGCTGAAAACAAAATTGAAGATATCAGATGCTAGGAGAAGTATATTTGATCAAGCAGTGAACTATGAACATGAACTTTCACAAACTGCGCTTAGTTGCAGTGGTACTAATTTACATGTAGACGGTAGGAAGAGTAGGTACTTTGACC